ATTGTGTGTGTGTGTAAATTTGGGTTAATTTTAAATAAAAAAGGGCAAGAAAAGTCCAAAAATGGTCATTAAATAGCGCGCGGACTCTAAGCTCCCGAAACCGTAACGAATTAAAGCCGTATCCGTCCGCCGTCGCAGCCTCCGCCACCACCACTACCTGCTTGCCCTTTCGCGGCCCATTTCGAGCTCCTTTTCCATGGAGTCGGCATATTTCTCCTCGTTTCGGGCTCTCACAAACAGTTAAAGATTCATGGATTTGTCTTCGAACGCCTGTCCCTTAAGCATCTGATCATTCCCCTTGCTTCGAGTCGTCGAACGCCATGGTCTTGCTCGGCGACTCCTCCGAGGGCGACTGCACCTCCTCCGCGAGGATTCAGCGTTCCCTAGGTCGATCCATGCGCACGGTGCGTTCCAACGTTTTCCGGAGCGACTCGCCTCCCGATGCTCCCCCGGCGGCTGGCTCCGCTGCCGTGTCGGAGAATCTGACGGACTCCGTCGTCGACTTCCAGCTCCAGGAGCTTGCCGTCGGGCCACCCCGGTCCTCCGACCCCAAGTGCGCCGCCGCCTCCGTGGAGTCGGCGGCTGAGCTCCTGGAGCTCTCGCGGGACTTCTCCGACTGCTCTAGCGTCAACTCCGACATCTCCGGCGAGCTCGAGCGGCTGGCGTCCGTCCCCAGGACGGTTGCTCCGACGATCCCCGCGGCGGCCGGGCCTGACGACCTCGAGGCGCTTGGGCTGGGGTTTGGTTCGTCGGAGATCGTGGAGCGTACTTCGGTCGAGAGCGTGGAGCCGGCGGTCAGGGCATGCATGGAGGGCCTGGGGTCATCGTCACCGGAGAAGAAGCGCGCCGCGGCGGCGGGGATACGGCTCTTGGCGAAGCACCGGTCGGAGTTCCGGGAGCTGATCGGGGCATCGGGGGCGATCCCGTCGCTGGTGCCGCTGCTGAAGAGCACAGACCCGGCGGCGCAGGAGAACGCGGTGACGGCGCTGCTGAACCTCTCGCTGGAGGAGGCGAACAAGGGACCCATCATGGCGGCGGGGGCGATCAAGCCGCTGGTGTACGCGCTGCGGACGGGGACAGCGGTGGCGAAGCAGAACGCGGCGTGCGCGCTGCTCAGCCTGTCGATGGTCGAGGAGAACCGGTCAACGATCGGGGCGTGCGGGGCGATCCCGCCGCTGGTGGCGCTACTCGTGGGCGGGACGAGCCGGGGGAAGAAGGACGCGCTCACGACGCTGTACAAGCTGTGCTCGGCCCGGCGGAACAAGGAGCGGGCGGTGAGCGCGGGGGCGGTGCCGCCGCTGGTGGAGCTAGTGGCCGAGCGCGGCGGGGGCACAGCGGAGAAGGCGCTGGTGGTGCTGGGCAGCCTGGCGGCGGTGCCGGAGGGGAGAGCCGCGGTGGTGGAGGCGGGAGGGATCCCGGTGCTGGTGGATGCGGTAGAGGCGGGGCCAACGAGGGGGAGAGAGTTCGCGGTTCACGCGCTGCTCCAGCTCTGCGCCGACAGCGAGCGCAACCGGGGGCTCGTCGTCGGGGAGGGCGTCATCCCGCCCCTCGTCGCGCTCTCTCAGACCGGCTCCTCGCGGGCCAAGCACAAGGTAATCTTCCTGTCGGAACGGAGGAGATGCTCCCTTCTTGCATTGCTTTCCCGTTGGATTCTGCGTACTCACGTGGAGGTTCGTTTCACGCAGGCGGAGACGCTTCTTAGGTTCTTGAGGGAACAGAGGCAGGACGACGGGGCAACTCCGGCCACCGCAGTATAATTACCGATGGGTAAAAATAATCACCATGTACGCCTTCAACAATTTTGTGGACTCTGTTCGTGTGTGAATAATGTCAGTAGGGATCGTAACATAGTATAATATTATGTATGCCATGCAAATTCTGCCTCTTAAAACAGTGGTTTGTGTGTGTGATTGGAATGCAGCGTGAACTGTTTTCCTCAATGGCCAACAGCTCGTTTGTACCATTCCATTGTTCGACAAATGATTTGTATGGTGGAAGCAAAAGTTTAGTGGGAAAGATGTTGTGTTGCTCCGCCTACTGCACAACCTTTAAGAAAGCTTCTTCTTCTTCTTTCCATCATCATCATCATCACTGCACTCCCTGTGTATGAGTTCTGTACTCTTTCCAGTTTTCTTGCACTTCTCTTTGTCTGTGCTGGGGGCAGTGTCTGGTCACCAGTTGCGCTTTTATTGATTGCAAGATGGGGCCAAAGTATGATGTTCATAAATTATTATTATTATTATTATTATTTATTATTAATTTCTATAAAAAAATATTTTTTTATTTTTCATATAATATTTTTATTTTATTCTTATAAAACGTTTTTAAATTTTTAAAAATTAAGATTACAATAAATTTCATCACAATCGTCTTTGTCTCTTATTTATCGTTCGTCTAATATTTTTGTTTTCGTCTTTCCTCTCATTTTCTTCTTTGTCTCTCGAAAAAGAATCTCCTTTGTCTCTTATTTATCGTTGGTCTATTGTTTTTATCTTAGTCTTTCCTATCGTTTTCTTCTTTGTCTTTTGAAAAAGAACCTCCTTCGTCTTTTATTTATTGTTGATTTATTATTTTTGTTTAATCTTTCCTTCTGTTCTATTCTTTGTCTTTAGAAAAGTTGGTGTGAATATGTCAACAAATATCATGAAAGTAAGTATGAACTGATATTGATAAGGAATAAAAAAAAGCACATAAAGATAAAAATATTCTCTTTCACTGCATTATTAAAATGAATATGCTTTGCACGTAACAAATTGACCCATTAATTCAACCAATGATATGTATATATATATAATTGTAGATATGATCATGAGATAAATAATATAATATCATCATTAATTAAAATAGAATATCTGTAAAAATAATTTACAAGAAAATAAAAATAGGAGGACAATAAGAATCCTCGGAGTGGTTGATCCAACCCACGTCAATCTCACGGGGGTTTGACTCAGCACAAGCAGCTTTGACTGCAAGGATGCTGCCGCGATGCTTGGGTTTGGTCAACATCCTGAGAGATACAATACGGACTCCCGGCGTCTTCGCCTTTGTCCCCCCGCCGACCAATAAGACAAGATAGGCTTCCTCACGGATGTGGAGCTCAACATGGAAGAAGACACCGGTTGATTTATTTATTTATTTATTTATTACTTGAATTATATAATCTTATAAAGTAATTAATGGATCATTTTGATGGTGATATAGTCGACATTAAAAATGTATTTTAATGCTAATCATATCTTTTCTCTTTCGATGATGGTTGGCTATCTGTAGCACAACAATGAACTCACTTTTCTAATAGCATTCTGTCACTTCCTTGCAGCTTTCTGAATCACAAATTCCTACTCGACAACACAAAGAAAAGCTTTAGCTATAGCTTTTACTTTTTCTTCTCTCTTTAGGTGTTGAAGCTTCCTTTTCATTTTGCTGGCAGCCAAAGAGGGTGTCATGATGTTACATCATCACAGTTGAGTGGGGATATTTAAGATTCTGCCAAGATAAGATTGTCGAATTCATGGATTTCGTTTGAAATGGTTTACAATCTTTATGTTTTTTTTTAAGATGATAAGTGAATTAGAAAGGATTTGAGATGGAATATGAGAGCCCCAAACATCAATTTCAGGAGTCATCATCATCACACATTATACACAATCTGAAACTTAATCATTCTACTTAACAACTCTCATGTTCACATTGACCAGACATACTTGCTGTTAGGGATGTTTGTGGATACAATGATGATAGCATTAATTGATATGCTTCTTATAAGTTTCAAAAATAGTGTATTTGTATTTTTTAGATTTTAATATCATATATATCTCTCTTTAAATACTAAGAATTTTTACGCACACAAATCAATTATAGAAACTAATACAATTAGATTAGCTCTTCATAGACAAACTTGGGATTTGCGATCCCAAATCGATTCAGGATCATAGGATCCTTTTCTATCGGATAGGAAGGGCTATTGCACAAAATATATTTTTAAGTAATTGTCCTGTAGATCCTATATCTATCTAAAGAAGAGATCAGAAGAGGATTCTTATTTGTACAAATGATACTTCAATGAGCATAAAGAAATTAACGATATTTCTTTATCTTTTGAGTTATTATTATTATTATTATTATTATTATTATTATATATATATATATATATATATATATATATATATATATATATATATATATATATATATATATATATATATAAACTATTCCTAGTTATAATAAAATCAACATTAGCTAGTTCATGTTAGGAATATAAATAGATATCTAAAATACTCCTAATGTTCATATAATGGAAATGATTAAAAAAATATCATTAGCTGGCTAATAGTTAACTAATAGCATTGATGAGATGAGATGCGCAAATTTTTTTAGTGTGGATTTTACATATTTATTCGTATAATTTTGAAAATAGTGTAATTCTCTTTATGAATTTTAATATCACATACATTTTCTCCAACTGTTAAGAATTTTTATACATACACGTATATGTATATATATATATAGTCGATATGATTTTTTTATTAAAATAATCATTAGCTAACACAGATTAGCATTATGTTACTTACATGAATAATTTTATGTAGAGGCATAAATAAGGAATCATTAAAAAGGAAAGGATGTGTGAAGAAGGTTGTTAAAAATGCTTGTCGAGTGATGTGATCAAAGGTAGAGTGGCATCAATTATCATATGTGGCGTTGGAAGTGGTTGTGTCATCCTCGGGCTAATGAGTGTGATAACAACGGGTGTTATTGCGCCCATCGGCGTCAATTCCCCCACACAATCCCAATGCAATGCGCCGTGGACAAGCGGATCCTTCAAATTAATGGGTTAGGTTTGTATTTGGGAGCTCAGGATCCAACCATTTTTAATGGACTAGATTTCGGATCTCAAAAGCATGTCAACCTTTAATTAAACATGATCGGTTGGTGTGTTTAGCAAAAATTATACTGTCGACACCCACTTGCTTACTTCAATATACGTACATACGTTATAAAATTGCTAGTATCAAATTTGATAGTAGATTTATGTTATAGATCTATTATCAAAATTTTATTATATTGTCAAAACATCTTTGTTTACGGAAAAAAACCAAAATAAACAAGAACATACGGCACAAATATTCAAATACATGTATTGAAATAGATCTTAATTGTCCGGCATGTCATATCGTATATGTACATATAAAAGGAAGATGGACATAAGAAAAATTTCAAATCACACAATGTTGTGGAGATTTTAATCTCTTTCTTTCTAACTGCAATTTTAATGTTACAACTAATGACCAGGTCATAACACAAAACTCCTCAGAGTTACACCAATAGCAACGGATCAAAGATTTATCGTTTAGCTTGTCAGATCCCTCAGTTCATCTCCAGGCGCACGAGACAACGAGCGGTCGATTCTTCCATCCGAGATAAAGTATGCCATCTCGCTCTTCAAGTCGATAGTGTTCCGAGTAGTTCTGTAACAGTGTCTTGATGGTTGCATTTACCAATGGACTAAGATGGTATGGTCTGAATCCAGCCATCGTAAACCGAGAATTCCATTTGCCGAAAAGCTCATACCTCTCCACTCTTTCAGCACCCTCGCAAGCAATAATATTAACAATGTCCCTTGCAAGGCAGTGCTGCTCTACGCTGATTCTCTCTTTGTTCTCCCTTGGAAGACACACATCGATCGAATCAAAAATGGCAGTATAGTAGTCTAGAGTCTCCAGAAATCTCGGAAAAAATGGAGCTGTGTTTGTGTTGGCTTCATGTTCCACGAGTGTCACTACCTTTGGAGAAACACTCTTGATCATCCGCAACAGCCTGTCTCGGTGGTTCCTCGTGCTCACACTTTCGTCTGGCATGTGATGCAGATGCAAATTGAAGTTTATTGCCAATGCCTCCCCTGGCTGAATGTCAAGATGCTCGAGCTCCACATCACAGCTTGACATCGCCACACTGTGGAATTCAAAAGGCACGTTGCAAGATTCAGCGAGTCGAGATAATCTCTGTCCGACAATGTGTAGACCACCACCCCGTGCATAAGCAGAAACATTATCATCGATACCGGTTATTCTTATGCGCGGCGGACCACCAGGCATTGCTGCAAGGGCTTGAATGAGGGTCACCCATTGGCTTCCCTGCGTGATCTGGAAATCGATGATGTGAACCATGTTTTCACCCTTGACAGCCTCAACAATTGCCCCGTTTGCAGACAAGTAGCCAAACTTGAAGTATGGGCAGACCTCATAAAGGATATGCATGTAGCTGAGGAGGTCAGAACTCACAGGTTCTTTACACTTCAAAGCTTTGTAGATGGAACTACCAGAGGAAGCCAGCCTAGCTATTAGGCCTTCAAGCAAGTATGCCCCTAGCCGTTGAATTGGTTCCCCTGAAACTGAAACCATCTGCCTCAACTCCGAAATCAGCCATTCAACAGCAATCAGATCATTCTCTGCAACAGCTCTAGCACAGGCTATGAGAAATTGTTTCAAGTCTCCTCTGGGAGTTTCCATCACTCCTCTCCACTTCTCTGGCTCGAGTGACAGATCGCCCGGATAGCCGTTATCAGAGTTCCCAATCGTATCCAAATCAGGCCCCAGCATTGCAGCTTCTATCTCCCTTAACCTGTTCTTCAGATCACTTGGGTCTTCAATAGTCGCACTAACTGGAGATCCATTGGCATTATCGGATACGGAATCCTGCTGGGACATAGAGGATCCACTGATAGGTGAGAAACTGAGAGAAGACGGAGGGTTGTGTGTGGTACAATTAGCAGTTGCCAACGAGGACTCTAGAGTGCAGAATGGCACATGACTTGTCTGAGGTTGAACATGCCTTTGCTGGAATCCATCATCAGAAGAAACATAATCTGAAGATTGATGGTTTTGAGGCATAAAATGGGAATCACCTTCGTTAGCATTCATGGATTTTAATGATATAATGACTGCCGGTGTCTGTCAAAGATTATGTACTTTGGGATGCATGCGTTGAAGTATAACCCACTATCGGCTCCATCGAGAGTCCAGCAAATAAATCACACCGACCGAAGGATCATTCAAATAATTTATCTGAATTAAGCGGACAGAGAATTATGATTGTCAACATCGTATATGGCCAAGAGAAAAAATAGGATAAAAAAATCAACAGAACTCCAACTAATAACATAGACTGCTCACAAACAAATTAGTAGCACACATACAAGACATGTCCAAGGAAAAAAGAAATAGAGAAGTGGTACATGAGAACATTAATCAAGAAAAATTTCACAGAAGAATCAGCAATAGACAAGCATACGACAAATTTTAGAGGCATTATACTCCCAAATTACATAACTAGCTTACAGGTGAAGCAGTTTACCTTCCAAAATCATGTTTCTTCCTTTCATGTAACAATAATTCTACAAAGAACAAAAAAAATCTAACACATAACTCGTACTAGATTGCTGCAATCACAAATCGTCTCTGGAAGCATAACAATGGACAAATATCGTAAACTTGTTTGCTGATATCTATAATTGCCTAAATCTCAAAGAAAAGGACTTTAGCTGTGTTTTATCTTGCACGATTAGACATAGTTTTGTAGTAACCAGGAATATCAAGACATATTTGATGCATCCTACCACTACAAATCATAGCAAAATAACATACATATTTTCATAAATTTGTAAGTGCTGATTCCAGATTATCAATCAGGATATCCCAATTTGAGATCAAAACCCAGCCCTAAAAAACCCAAACAAAGCACAAAGGAAGACAAATGGAAGCAACTGAGACACCAAAGAGTTTGCTACCTGCCCAAACCCTAGTTTAGGTGAAAGAAATAATCTAAAGTAACAAAAACCCCCCATCAAAATTGGAAATATTATTTTGCAGCACAATAAGAAACCAATAATTTCCAAAACAAACACCGTAAACAACTCACAGCTCCACCGACCCATTCCCACAAATCCAGCCATGGATGATTCGAGATTCGCGGTCGATTACTTCCAGCAAAGGTTCGGAAGGAAGGAAGGAAGGAAGAAGGATAAGAGAGACGGTAGAATTATCCGTGGAACTCCCGGAAAACCAACCTCGTTGCAAGAAACGGTGACCCAATGGACACGCACATGTTGGACCGGTCGTCGACGGCTGTCGCTTTATAGATATGCAGAAAAATCTAAACAATATCTATTATGTTTTCCATTTTTTTCCTAATATTATATGAATTCTCAGTGATCATCGAAGTGATCGATATTGAAATTATACTTAATATCAATATTCGGTTCGAAAATGATATATGTTGATGTTTATTTCTAATTATAATTAACAAGGTTCGTAATACTGTACCGTACCGGTATTTCGATTTGGGCTCGGTACCGGTACAGTACGATATACCGAGCGGCACAGATGTATCGAGTACTGTAGCACTACTACAGTGCACTCGGACTGGTAACAGTCGGTCTGCATACCGACAACCTATTCGACCGATACGTATCGACGGGCGGTACGACTTGATACGATAGACCCTGATAATTAATATCAATTTGATCTGCGCTTTTTCGTGGACCGCCTTATAAGTTATGCAAAGCATTCATGTAATATATATATATATATATATATATATATATATATATATATATATAATAATAATAATAATTTCGAACGTAATATCTATTTTTATTAGTTTTTAGTATAAATCAATATGATAATTTGATGATATTTAAATCCATAATGTATTTATTAGACATTATGGATTTGCTCGAAGAAAAATATTGGTCAAATGTACGTTCCATCGTTTCCTCTCTCCCTCTCGTTTTTTATTTGGTATTTGTTCATCGACCATTGTCATCTTACTAATTATAAAAATGATTATATAGTATAACAAATTCAATCACAAGATTTTATGTATAATCATAAGATTATATATATATAAATATAATTTGGTATTAGACATGATGATGAGAAACTTAAGTAAGATAATGTTAATAGATAAGTACAAAAGAGTACGATAATTTTGTGACTCTTACGATACGGAGGACATCACCAATTTATGATGATTAGAAGAGTTGACCAACTTGAGTTGACCGTGTTTTGGATTGGGTGAATGCTAACCCACCTCCAATGTAGATTATGCACATGCTCATAATTTGAATGTTAATTGACTTAATTGACCCGTGGTGGCATTCTAATCCGCTGTCTATGGGCCGCCACGGTCTGATCCGGTCCGGTCCGGTCCGAACCGTTCTTGGCAGATCGTAAGCCCAATGAGGATCGCCAGAGCCGCGCTGCTTCTCTCTTCGATATCTCAATCGCTTCCTTACGTTTCGCGTGTCGAGGGCAGAGGAGCGCGAGATATGCTCGTCGAGTTCGGCTCTACCATTTGTATCGAGGACGAATCGCTCTCGCCCCGTCGTCGCTAAGTTTTTGGAGGCCGGTTCGGAGTCGGCTCTCCCTCCGAAGAAAGGAGCATTAACCCTAGAATCCAGAGGTGAGTGAAAGATCGGCTTTGGTTGAAAGAAATTTGGATCTTTATGACGGTGTGCTGATAATTCGTCCCTGATAATCGCTATCTTAGGTATTCAAATCGGAAATTTGATCTTTTTCGATGTAGCGTCGGTGATTGAATCATCTTCCTCGTCCAAACCCTAGAATTCTCTCGCGGCTTCTGAGGAAAAACTCGTTCGTTTGTTCGTATACCGGTAAATTTGCATTGCTAATTGTCTGAAATCTTCATTTCAGCGGAAAAATCTTCCAGCTTTGTCATTGATTGGTGTTCGGTGGGATGGGTTGGGCGCAGATGATCGGAAACGATGCAGGCATCGACTGGGACCAAGCTGTTCATGTTTACATGAATGTGATTGCCTGTGAGAGTGAAGATTTGCAGATCAAAGCCACTATTCAGCTTGCCCGTTTGTCGAAGGACGCACCGGAGGCCATCTTGGCAAGCACCATTCCCGTTCTTGTAGACCTCCTATCTTCCACATCACGGATGCAAGAAGCAGCTGTGTATGCTTTAAGCTGCATCGCCCACAAGCATGATGGTCGCTTATGCCCCATGATTTGCCAATTGGAAGCAATCTCTTTACTTCTTAGGCTACTTCCAACGTCTAAAGAAGGGCTGAGGAGAACATTGCTTAAGTGCCTTCGGACTTTGGTATCTTTTGATGGTCCCAGTAGGTTGATTCTAGCAGCAAATGGTGGTCTGGATATCACACTAGATTTGTTGTCTAGATGCACTGATGATACAAGGCGGTACTTATTGGAGATTCTCACTGCCTTGGCTTTGTTGAGAGAAGTGAGACGAGTATTAACGGGCTTTGATGTCCTCAGGTTTCTTGTCGAAGCTTTATCAAATGGTAAAATGATATCGAGAGCACGAGCTGCCCAAACCATTGGGGTGCTCGCGATTTCGAGGAGAGTCCGGCAGAAACTTGTTGATTTGGGGGTCATTCCGGCGCTCATTGGTTTTCTAAAGGAGGCTGATTCCTCTTATAGGCTAGTTGCGGGAAATGCTCTTGGTATAATCTCCTCTCATGTTGACTACCTTAGGCCAGTAGCCCAAGCCGGTGCAATCCCATTGTTTGTGGAACTGCTCAAAGGACCTGAACCCCTTGGGAAAGAAATTGCCGAAGATGCTTTTTGTGTATTAGCCGTGGAAGAGGAGAATGGTGTCATGATAACAGAGGAGATGGTGAGGGTTCTTGAGGGTGATGCTGACGACGCAAAAGGTGCAGCTTTAGATATTGTATGGGATCTAGCGGGGTACAGGCATTCCATCTCTGTTGTCAGAGAATCAGGTGCAATTCCAGTTTTGGTAGATCTCCTGCGTAACATGGATGGCAATCTTAGAGAGAAAGCATCTGGTGCTATTGCACAATTAAGTTATGATGCAGCAAACAGGGAAGCTATTGTGGAAGCTGGTGCCATTCCTGTTCTTATTGACCTTTTGAGAGGTGATCCGGAGGAGGTCAGGGAATATGCAGCGGAATGTCTACTTAATTTTGCAGAAGATCCTTTGCATCGAGAGCGAGTCTCTGAAGCCTATGCAGTTCCATCTTTTCTGGCCATACAAGATAGGTTAATTCGTATCCGTGCCTCTGATGAACATATTTTCAGGTCCATGAGTACGCCGAACGTTGAGCGATTCATTTCACACTAAGATTTGATCTGCATCTTCTGAGATTATGGTTTAAAGCTCACTTGCAATTGTTATCTTTTGCCTAGCTTATGTGTTGTTTCAAAGTCCAAAAGTATGTCCACCTTTTAACTTTGATGTTGGGTATTAGTAATAAAGTTTGCTTCCGTGCATCGTGTCTAACTTGCATAAATTCTTGATGTATATTTTTTCTTTTTGACCCCTTGTATGTGATTTCTGTAAGTAAATTTGATTATTTTAAGAAAAAAATATAAGTACACATGGGCACCTTTAGTTGTTACAAAGATGCAAAGTTTTTTACTTGTATTTATTTTCTGTATAGTCTATAATTTTCCTAATAATTAAGCTGTGTTCGTCGTAGAATTTTGAGGCTTTTAATCCTGCGATGTGCCGTAACATAAAGTTCAAATCCAGTGATGTAACTCTACACAATCATGATATAGTTTGCATGCCCGATAGCAATTGTTTATTCTATTCAAATTTCTATTTTTTTTCTCTTGTGTTTTGATCTGATATAGTATGTGCCGACTATCTATGATGATGTTTTTTTCCCTTCAATTAACCTTTTTTTATGTAAAAAAATTATTTGCATAACCTACATTGTTTGCCTTGTGATCATAGTTATTGTTTCTCTTGATGCTTTTGAGAATATGCTAATGGAGAGTGAGAAGCTGATCAACCTCGACAACAGCTCTAAGCCAAGTCACAGTATTCCCGGTGACTGAGGGGGGCACCTCGGAGAGGTACGACGTACATATCCAAAGTGGTTTGCCACACCATCCTGCACAAAAAGTTTCACTGATTGTAGACTCGGAGGGAGACATCTCCTCCGTTGGGCTGCTGGAGAAGAATTAGATAGTTGCTAGGCGTTTTGAAAAGATCTACTCACAACGACACTATAATTTATCGAAAGACATTTAATCCACTGAATTTTGAATCCAAAAATAATCAACTGATATAATCTTTCCTGTTAATCTTCGGTTGTGGGTATCAAGAAGTACAAGAAATATAATAGCACAGAAAAGAAACTACAACTGATGAAAGAAAGAGTCACTCCAGATCGGATCATAGCTTGACCTCCACATCCACACCGGCTGGAAGGTCAAGCTGCATTAGCGAGTCGATCGTTTGGGCGGTCGGATACAAGATATCGATTAGCCGCTGGTGAGTCCGAATCTCGAAATGGAAACGGGAATCCTTGTGAACATGGGGTGACTTGAGGACACAATAAACTCTCCTCTTTGTGGGAAGGGGAACAGGACCCATGGTCTTGGCGTTGGTTGTTCTAGCAGCTTCCAGGATCTGCTTGCATGAGTCCTCCATCAACGACACCCAGTAGGACCTCAGCTTGATTCTTATTTTCTGCTTCGGCGCCATCTGGTGACACAAGTAGATGAGAATTCTGTACTGAGAAATAGTTAGCCAAAAGGAGCATTTTAGGATAACAATAAGTTCTCATTCTGAAACTTTAAAACTTCAAACATCCCCGGTCTGTAGTTCCTAAATTTTGATGAGACAAGGTGGCCCGAGTGTCTCATTGTAACCATCAACTTTTGAAAAGATCATGTTCAGCCCAGCAGTTTGCAGTTTGAGCCAAAACGCAACCAGCTTTTTAAAACAAATGATGGTTGTGAAGGTATAATGTTCTTTACATGTTTTCCATAAAATGTCGATTTGATTCTAATAAAGAAAAGATGGCCCGAGTGTCAATTTGATCCTGATAAACATCCCCAAACCATGTTTCTAAATTTGATGAAGAAAAGGTGGCCCAAGTGTCTTATTGCAACCATCAAATTTTCAAAACATGTTTGGCGCAGCAGTTTGAGCCAAAATGCAATCAACTTCTTAAACAAATGATGGCTGAGATGGCATAATGCACTTTTAAACAACTAAGTGAAATGTTGAAGGTAACCACAGATCTCTACTAGCCAGGTAGTCATCACTAAGAATAGGGACAGACGGAATCATACAGCAGAAGATTTCAAGACATTTTGATCTATCAAGGGGAAACAAAACACTAAAATTACCTCAGCTATGTTGCAATTATGCCAAGCTGATATTATCTAAAGAATACTCATCTATCACATTCACTTGGCTTCGCTGCTTTCTCATACCTTCAAAAGGCCATACTCTTTAATATATTTGCCATAGATACGTAAACTTTCATTCAAGTGATTATCATCCACAATAAACCAAATACCAAACAAAAAGGGAATTGAGGAATATATGATTTTCCACATATACACGTATAAGTCCAAATGCTTATTTATATAGCATAGGAACTAACTGAATAGTAGTAGTCAACAGTCAGCAATTGAGAAGCATTAGTAGCTCACAAAATATTCAATATGCAAGTTTCTAGAAACAATCTCCATAACAAAGTATTGAACTTGTTATTTTTTAAAACTATTGCACAGTTAGATGGAGATGAAACTCAAAACTAAATGCTGTTGTCCAATAAGTCTACTCCAATTCATGACAAAAAAAGATGGGTACATCAACAGGAGATGAGCTTGTTCCTGTACAGGTAAATAAATTTATGTCTGGTTTACCTTACCACAAACTCCAGGTGGAATATATCAAGAACTTGAAAACTGTCTGAAAGCCATAGAGAAGACACAAGGAAAAAAACAATATTTTTCCTCAACAACATGTATTGCATTTTAGCAATTGCATGAGAAGCCAAAGGAGATGTGTCATGGGCCAGCAGCAGAAAAATTCAAGATCCCATGACATGATAGAAAACCTAAATGCTTAGTGCTATCAGCTAGTAAATAAAAGAAAAATCCATCAAAACATCTTATGATAAATGTTGGAAAAATCATATTAAGATGTTTTGCCAATATTTTCTGTAGCAAAAAGAAAAGCGACTTCTAGTCACTGAAATATGATATATTATCTAATACCTAATGTAATAACTTTATAAACTTGGACAAGTACTAGTTAAATACTTATCCACTGATCCCAAACATTCCAATTCCCATAAAATTCAGCGTAGAAAGACGCACAAACATTTACTAGTCTAATGGTGAGTGTGGTCTCCACATCCTCCTCTTGATTAGATTTAATGAACTCTATCAATATTAGATTTAATGAACTCTATCAATATTCTAGCTGCATGAAATTTGATGTGAAGAGTCTGTGGTTGGTGACCTCTATGATGTGCACCTTATGGTTGATAATGACCTCATCAAGTTCAAAGTTATCTTTGGGTGGCACATCATACTCTGAACCATGAACTGCCAAGATCCTTTAGTTTTTGTCAGCTGAAAAACATGCAGCAACACATATTGGTGTTTTAGATGATCTATCATACTTTGTTCAGTCACATGATGGATGGATCTAGCCATCTTGTCCATCAGATCAATTGATCCTTTTTCATTCTTTCCATTAAAATCCTTCCTAGATAGTCATAAATATCTCTCACCAAGTCAAAATGACCAAAACTATAAAAAAATTTGAAATATCATTAAACTTAAAAGCATATAGAACCAAAATTCCCCCATTACTGTCTCTGACTGTGATGTGAACTTCATGCTTCTGCCTTGAGAAAAACTGCATTACAGGTCGCAAGTCTTGGTTTTCTCTAATTATCACACAAAATTGACCTTCACTATCCACATTCGCAGCAAACTCAAACCTAAATGTGCTGATGTTTCAGATACTAGTGCACCAGCAAGGTTCAGAATGGTTTTGCTTTCTTTAGATGATCAGAATCCATTGTGTAACATCATAAGCCCCCAAAGACCAACTTAATGAAAACTTCTCACAATGTTTTTGATAATTGTTTCTTGTTACTACCTTCTTCTGACATACAGTTGAATCTTCAAGGTAGTATTTGTTTGAGTTACAGGTATCAAATTTTGCTATTTGTACACCTTGAAGTGATACTGCTACCTTATTTTTTAAATTCTTGTACTAGAAATCTTGCACACAATTCATCTTCATTCATGATCCAAAAAGTAACTTCTTGTTTTCCTTATGTGCCAAGTTGAAACATATAAAACTGACATCATCGGTTTGGTAAGATTCCAATATGTGGTAGACATATCATATTGAAACTTTTCCTTATACCATGACAGAGAAATATTGGCATGGGGAAAGGTGAATACCTCCATATATTATCAATCATGCACGCCAATGCACATAATGCACACATCAAATCTACCTGTTCACTTGATCCAGTGCATGCCAATTGGACTTAGTACAGTTGACGCATGACACCACAAACCATAATATCGATGGACTTGGCATGCAAGACATTATCCTTCCTAGTTCAAGAGACTTAGTAATGTAGTTTTCTTTCATGATGGTTTTTTACATTACTCCAACTGAAGGTTGCGCTCCAATGGACTGCTTTGAATTATAAGAGCCTTCCAAATAAAAATAGTTCTGCAAATTGACACTTCATTTTACCTTTGCTCTTAACACTCTTTTCAGCGTAAGACGATTGAAGGATTCTTCTCCAGATAAATGGGCTCAAACTCTAATCTAGTAGGACTGATCTTCCCATTATCAGATAATTTTTATAGGTTAAAGTAACTCCTTTCCTGCATGGGTTTGCCCATGTTGGAAAATTGACTTTTATATTTCGGTATTTCCACATCAAAACATTGGTGGCATAGAAAATTGCAAAGTTGTTTACCTCATGCCGTATTGCATGAATGTGAGAGTGATGCCAATTACTGGAAAATGCTGTGCAATGTTGCAGCATTTTCTTCCACAGTTGAAAAAAGTAAGTGCTATACGCTGCATTTCTAAAATGCATCCTTATCATCCCATACATGGGAACGAGTAAGGCTCAATCCTGTTAAATCGCCAGAAAATCTAGGTTACAAAAGTGTATCGTGGATATCTTGGTTTCTTAGTCATCAGCCATGCGCGGAAATTACAAGCCGCAGCAGAAATGCAGCACCAAATAGAGGAGGGAGAAAGAAAGATGACACCTTTAATTATATGGAAAGAAAGGCCGAGAATCGACTACCTTATCGGCATCCGCATCGACATCGAGAGCCACGGCAGATTTATCCTCAACCTTCAAAAAGAAAGGAATAATAAGCACACACAACACAACCAAGTGAGCTTCAACGACACCAGAAGGCAGAAATCTACAGTACCTCGAAGCCGATCGAAGTCCCCGCTGCATCTGGGGTTTGCTCGGCCCCGACAGCCTCCGCTGCGGCAGCGGGGGCGCGCGGCGAAGAGGGGACGCGGGAGCGGAGGGAGATGGGAGGATTCGAGCACTGGGGCGAGAAGGAGAGGCATCTGGGCTTCGGAGAGAGGGAAGCGCGATTGGAGAGAGGAGGGAGGGCGAGCGTCGCGGATAGCGAGGAAGACGCGGCCATCGCTTTAGCAGGCGCTCCTCCGCTACGGAGAGTCCACTCCCCAAACTTATCCTGCGTTATCCGTTAAGAGCTCCATATCACGTGCGAAACGCGTGACTCATCATTTTTATGCTTTTGAGTTTTTTTAGGACAATATTTATATTGGGACATTTCATATTTTTATGATCACTACAACTATACATCGTATAGTTGCATTAAATGTTAACAATAATTATATTAAGAAATTATTTGTCGCACATTTGAAGGGATAGAAAAAGAAAATTCGACATAAACTCTAACAAATCTATCCCTCTCAAAATTACTACACATTTATTTTTGTTATATATATACATATATACATATATACATATATATATATATATGTATATATATATATAGCAAGAAAATTTCTTTTCTTTTAATATATATTTAAAACTAGAGGGATTTGGGAGGTGTAGAATCTATCGGGTGGAACCCGAATCCGAATCCGAATCCGAATCCGAATCCGTTCCTTCCGAGGTCCTAAGTAGTCTCTCCGAGTCGCTCGAAGGATCACCGCGGCTCGCAAACGCAGCCTGGTAATGGAGAGTGCTGCGCGCAGGCGGTTGGAATCGATCGGTCGCCATCTCCTCCCTCCCCGAATCCTCTCCCGGGACCTTCATCTGGTACGTAATCTTCTTCGAAATATTGTTATTGATCTCCTTTTCCTAACATGTCCTGTTTTTGAGCTTTGCTCTTTTCTTGCACTCGGATGCTTCTCTTCGTGTTGGTTCAGAATCCGGTTAGTTTGACGGAATCAAACGCCGTTGGCTCTTCGCCTGTTATAATCGGTGGGATGATTTTGGACATCCACGCCAAGCCTTTCACTGATCCGGTTCCCGGAACCACTAAGCCCGGGGAGGTATTGTTTCGTGTATTCTTAGATCAGATGCTTGTGCAAATTGTTTTAAGTGTGATTTTGTTGCGATGTACTTCGTATTTCGTACTTATTGTCCAATTTTAGGATGAAAAGATTTTTCTTTTCGCAGAAAGCTCTTTGATTGAAATGAACAAGGTTGGAGGTTTGCTAGATTTTTGCTGAAATGCTTGACTTGCAGGATGTTCGGATTTTACTGATCATTCTTACCTCACAATTATTAGTCTTCTTGAGATGGTTTGCACTGTAGCATACGTGGCTTTGCTGTTCACTCCAATCTAACGAATCTTGTTCATTTTTAGAATCACTTTGTCTTTTTTACTATAATTTTGTTCTTTTATAGATATGTGAAACTGATACAAAGATTTAACTGAATGTGTTAAAAACAAAGGAAACTTTGACATTTGCTGCAGTGAAGGCTGATTTGAAGCGAGATGCAATTAGGAATAGTTCAGTGGTGTTCAACTTGGTCATGGAGTTATGTTCATGATTTATTTTGTAAGACTTGAGTAGTTAACATTTTGGTGCAAGCTGTAAAGTGAAAGAATGAAGATATTTTGAATGTTTTCATATACTAAGAGGACTGAAAGAAGAAGACTATTGATTTTGTTAAGATGCAAATCCTATCTAACATGGTCAGATCATTCTGGGGTTGTATATTATCTATTCCAACCTCAAACCACCATGGTCAGACCATCTTGAAGATTTAGGAGGGACCACTTAAGTGAAGAAGTGTATTTATGATGATAACTTGATTTACATTAATGATTTGGGCAATCATAAGATCCCTTTCTCAGTTCAAAAGACACCATTCCCAAGTCAAAGTTCAAGTCAAAAGGTAACTAAGTTTTAACTAGTACTCTTTACTAAAGGGAGTTATAGCTACTTGGACTAAGTTTTTTGTCCTTGTTTTCAGAAGCAATTGGCTGTTCATAAGTCTCAGTATACGTATAATACATGATATGACATTTATTTGTTGTATTTAGAGTTGTATTAAGGAAATTAGAGTCGTATAACAGATGGATTTTATGAGAATTCTGGTTTAACTTTTCGTTTCTCAATAAGTAAGCCTTATTAAATTCTACTTTATTTAGGAATAGGATAAAAAGTATTAATGTTTATAAATAAAAGCACAGTAAGTTCTTGAGGCATGACCATTTTGAATTTGTCAATGAATACTATCTATAGTTCTTCATCGCTTTTTCCTTCTCTCTCTCTCTCTCTCCCTCTCTCCCTCCCTAGTAATACAAGATATACAATTTGATAAAAAGCTTGAGAATAATTGTGATTCTAGTCTTGTGTTGTGTGGTATTGCAGTTTCTATGAGTAAAGGGAGGGAGGGTTGGGGTTGGGACATACATAGCTTTCTATAGTGCTCCTTATATCCTCCTTCTGTAAGATAAAAAATATACATAACAGCAAGTCAACAGCCACTACGCAATTGAACAACAAAAGGAAAAAAGGTGCAAAAAGAGGGGAAGAAAGGAACATTTTGTGAGATCTAAACTAAATAGCCAGCAGCCTGCAAGTCTTCTAGCATAGGCATCTTCCTAACTGTTGGCTTCAAGGCTTCAGGCTAGGTGCCAAGATGTTGGTCCTACCTTAAGCAGGAACCTAGGCAACTTAGCTTTAAAAAAATTTCTTTGGCTTTTGGTCCAGAATTTGCAGCTTCAAGGACCATGGTACATAACAGTTTGTAAAGTGTACGTGATGATTTTTCTTGGTGGTTATTCTTAGTTTACATAAGTCCCCTCAACAGGTTCAGTATGTAAGTGGAGGAGTCGCAAGAAATATTGCTGAATGTATGTCAAAACTTGGAACTAGACCTTTCATGATCAGTGCTGTTGGATTTGACATGGCAGGTGATATATTTTCCTGTTATATGTGTGATTTGTGTTGGCAATAGTCACCATTTATTTACAACATCTTTTTTTTTTTCTTAGGAGAGATGCTACTGAGGTATTGGAAATCTGCTGGACTTTCTACAGAAGGTAATTACTTCAGCATTATGTGTTATCGATTTGCAGATCCAAATGAAACTACCATTTTCTTTCTGTCTATGATGATTTTGAGGTCACACTGAAATGAAACTACCATTTTTCTATCCACTTTCCACCAGCAAAAGAAGGAATCTGGAGTCAAATTTACATGCTTACTTATAATTAACCTCCACTGACACACACAACCATGCAATATGAAGTTACATTTATTTGAAATTTGAAGATTCTATAATAGTCATGATACATGAATGGGCTTGGTTGTTTAACTTGCATAGTCTTGCATGACTGTTTGGGATGTCTACACGAGCAGAAGTTTCTGATGCAAGAACCCACAAATGAGTAAAATGAAGGAACACATAGAGACACCATAATGGGGGACCAAAGCCCTACTTACAGCAACATAGCTGACAGTGGTAGGCACCTTACAAATATGTTAATATTGCACAATTTGATGTACGTGGTGTATATTCAGTTCTATCCTTGCCTCCTTGGTCTACAATAATTGATAATATAATGCTTTATGAGATGGTAACTTCTGTTGGAAGCACCAAAATTTACATGTAATGATGATGATGAGATTATGGGTTCTTGGTTTGTCATGATTTGTGAAGAGATAAATTTTGATGTGTGCAAATATAACATATATTATGTTATCCACCAGTGTATCTTTATGTTAATCTCAATTGAACATCAGTTGCGATTTACCCTATGCTCTGGATGGGATATGGATTGACTTTAATGGCACAAGTCTTTATCTTTACCGTATACTTCATTGTCTACTAACAATTATTCATTATAGGAATCCTGCAGTCAAAGAGTATCAGAACTCCTGTTGTTTCAATTGTATTTGATTCCAGTGGAGAGTTAGCAGCTGCTGTTGCAAGTGTTGAGGCTGTTGTAAGATAATATGATCATTGTTTTCCCTGTGTGATTACTGCTGTTAATCTAGATTCTTAAGTAATCTCTGTTAAGTATAATGCATTATGGCAAGGTAATTTTCTGAAAACCTAATGTCTTTCTTACAGGAAAAGTTTCTGACTCCAGAATTCATCAAGCAATTTCAGAGCTATATATGCTCTGCACCAATGTTAATTCTTGATGCAAATTTGCACCCAAAATCGATTGAATTTGCTTGTCAAAGTATGTGGTATTGCTTCAGTATTCTCTTTAACCTTCTTGTGCTCTGTAGTATATAAGTATCTATTTGTTTGTCATAAAAGCACAATTTGAATTTTCATGTCATAAAAAGTTGTTATTTGGAGTAATCTTCTGCACTTGCATCATCAAACTTTCCTAACCATTACCTTGTTTCTGCTGCAATCTCTGTATGCCTACATGTAGGCATTGATCCATCATATTATTTTTTTAATTTATGGTTCTACTTGTTTTAGGCATTTTCATGGTGGAAAGTCATTCCATCTTTGTTGAGTTGTATTGTGGGAAATAAAAAATGTGGCTTGCTTTTGTGTCCTTCTTTATCAGCTGAAAAAATGTATTTGTAAAATAGGAAATTTTATATTTTGTAATAATTAGTGGTGGTTTTGATTGAGAATAAATGAGGGAAATCTGTTTAAGTTTGAATAAAAACATCTAGATGATTATTATATGCACTAGTGAGATGAAGTGATTTAATAGAACTAATGGTTTTGGAAGATTATAGAAGATGGCTTTTACTTTGACTAATGTTGCTTGCTTGTTAGGAACTATAGCTTCTTGTTGTAATATTCTTAAAATATTCTATATTGTTGTAGTTGAATATATTCAAATATACATATTTGTTCTACGGTTTGGGGATTCAGGACTAATGTGCGGAAAATGAAGAACCATAACAATACTGTGCAGATTTAACAGATTTTAAGGTTGTTAGGCAAGAAGCCCTTTTCCATTTTCGAATCTTGTACAATCTTGTCAGGGAGTTGTGAATAATGTTTTTGACTTTGCTTATGGTTTTCATTTTGACTTCCTTTTGGCACCATATCTGGTCCCTGATTATTTGATTGAATGTGATATTTGGAATTCAAATTCAAGAGAATCATATGTTTAGCCTAGAGACAGGTTTTTTTTTTCTTTGTACAACTTTGTTATGGCTTGTTCTTAGAAGTTGTTTGAAGCTTTCAATGCTAGGCTGCCTTCTACTATC